ATTTGTAGCACAAATAAACGTTGCTCCTGTAAAATTTTGATTTTGTGACATACGTACTTATGTCAGATGACAGGTGCATTGCTTTTCTACCCTAGCCGGTTCGAAAGCACAGTTTGTCAGTTTTTCGGCGTGCTCAGATTTAGTTGTGCGTCACTGGGTCCTCCTGGCCTTGCTTATTTGGGCCTTACCGCCAAATTTCGTTTTTGACAGTGCGTTTGGCCGCCTGTTGCAGACGCACAATTTAAGGGTAGCACGGGCTAAAAGAACAGTTTTTAAGGTCAGAATTGTTGAAATTCGCGATGGGTGAAATTTAACGCGAAAGGGCGTTTTTGTCGGTGCGTTTGGCCACTTGTCGTAGACGGACAATTTAAACGGATAGCATGTCCTAAAAAAACAGGTTTTTCCGGTCCGCATGGCAAAATTGAAATGTTGAAATTTGTGATACACGTATACACGTTTTTTTCGCCCAGAAAGAGACGAGCACAGTTTTTGTTGGCTAGACGGTTCAAAAGCACAGTTTAAGCACACAGTTGATTTTGGCCGGTTTTGGACCCAGTGACTCTATAAGTCCGAGCAAGCCGAAAAACTGTGCTTAAACTGTGCTATTGAACCGTCTAGGCAACAAAAACTGTGCTCGTCTCTTTCTAGGCGAAACCAACGCGTTTATATGGGTCCCGCAAACTACACAAAAACCACTTATCGCGAATTTCAACAATCGCGAATTTCAACAATCCGCTTACGCCATTCTGACCGGAAAAAACCGTGATTTTAGGCCGTGCTATTCATTTAACCCTTAAACCGGCAACCATAGAAATAACCATACAAAAAAAAAAAATTGCGACTTCCTCACTATTTAGGCATCAAATTATACGATCTAATCGATTTTAGTGTTTGGTCGCGCCTGGAAGTTCTTTGTATGAGTTGATGTCCGGGGACATCACTGCCGTGTAGTCGAGTGACCTCACAAATTTAAACGGTCTTCCTGCCGGAGGTCTCATGAAGTCATTATTATATCCGTTTTATAATCATACAAAGTGTCGACAAAAAGCTAAATTTCACAATTTCCTCAATATTTTGGAAAATATTTCATGCTCCCTAAAAACATTTTTTGTGGTAAACAAAACACATTGGTTTGAAGGTGAAACATGCTCAGTCAGGCATTTTGGATGAAAACCCACTTGATAAAATACTATTCCACGGCATTATTGAGTTAAGCAACATTGAAAATACACTAAAATATTGATTGATCAGCATTCTAAAAGGCTCATTCTGGCTTGGAATACTTTTTTCGAACTGTTTAAGTCACTTACTTTGCCGCGGCACACCTCTCAACCTCGCCGAGAGCTCACAGCCGCCAAGCCGGAGCGTCATGACGGTCTTTGTTTACACACACACACAGCGGCTGAATCGATCAATTCGATACCTCGAGAGTCGACTCAGGAGCTTTAAATCTATCGACCTGCGTCGTGTAAAAGGCGCTATCATAAAATTTAGCTTCTCGGGAATGAACGAAAGTAGTTGATGTCCGTGGACTGCGGGATAAAGGGTTAACATATGTACGGTGGACCTGTACTTTCTACGTTCCGTAGTACACTGTGAGGGACAGATTATAAAAGGTCAAGGTCGATGTCGATATGTACGACGTTATCGAGCGCCATGTGGCAGTCGGTACTGCATTATTTTCCTCTACTGAACTGCTCGAGCAGAGATCTCTGTGACAGGCCTGAAATAACAAAGATAGCAGTCGGATTTGCAAAACAAGGGAGATGACCTTCTAATTTCAAAATGAAGTCCTCTTTGATTCGAAAAACCCGCACTTCGGAGGAAAGGGGCCCGCACCCACGATTAAGAGTACATCATCCACAAAATTACACAAGATCATCGGAAAACTTTAAGATAAAAGAAAAACGCAAAAGAATAGGGTATCCCTCTAGAGCGCGGAGCGGATTTAAGAAGAACAAAAGCGGATACAGAGAGCGGCGGTGGGCGCGGGCGAAGGAGCGGTGGGTGGTGGGGGAGCCTCCCCGCCCGCCCGCCGCTCCTCCGCTCGCCCGCCCCCACCACAGCTCTAAGTACACTCACAAAAATGTTTTCTTGCCAAAACCGAAATCTACTTCAGCCAAGAATATTTTTGGCTGAGCGATGGCGAAGCATATTACTCCAGTGATGATCAAAAAGTTTCGCGTCTGTTTGTTTGTCTGTCTGTAAGCACAATAACGTGAGAACGGTTTGAGCTAGAAGGCTCAAATTTTTATTGTAACTTTGTATCATTAAAAGCAAGAACTGTATTGATTTTGAGCCCTCTAGCTTAAAAATTGACCTGTCAACAAAATCAAAAACCGAAAAACCCAAAATATTACTTTTAAAAAATATGTTTTTTACATCTCTCTAACACGTAACTCGTCAAGGTAGAATTCTCCGGGCTAAAAAATTTTCCGTTTGGCTCTATCTCTAACCGTTTAGTCGCCAGAGGGCGACTTCCACACGTCAATGACCACAAATCATTTTAATGTTGTTTCTCATATGGTCTCTGTTGGGGCAACTCGTCAAAATAAAATCCTGGGGGGTTAAATTTGTGTTCTTTGGAGCCGAAGGCCTATGTACGACTATGCATTTTGCCCGACTCGGGTGTCAGCGCCGCAGGCCTAGGTAGATGAATGTGTGGCCAGGCGCAGCGCAGCGTAACAGTGTTTCGTGAGATATCGCAAAGCCTGTTACGCGAGACGTAGTCTGGCGTACATCTACCTAGTATTCTTGTCACTCGTACAAGAATTAGTATTCTTGGCCCAAGAATATTTTTTCTTGTGTCAATCCTCCATGAAAATCTTAGTTCAAGAATTCTTTTCTTATCCCAAGAATATTTAGTCTTGGCTGTATTAAGTGAAATAGTGCCCCAGGAGACAGTCTTGAAATGTGTCTCACAGTGGGTTATGACGGTAGTTAAAGATGGTTCGATTCTCCTTAATGCAATTTACGCCTTCAATGAGTGATTTTAGCGGTTAGAAGAACAAGAAGAAGTTCCAAGATGGCCGCCACGGACCACAACAAACCATCAACTGTTTTCCCGAAGCGACTGCTAGCAGCCGCCCTCGCTCAACTTTATATTGCTCCCATTTGAGTCAAATTTAGTATCATTTTGATCGGAAGGAAGAGGAGAACACATAAAATAGGATTTGAACATACGTGACGAATTTTTCAGGTTCCTTTCTAAGATATGGTGTTGGTTTGTTAAAATTGTGAACATGAACTATTATTTTCAAAGATTAACACTAAATAGCATTCTTATAGGTCCAATATCGTTTTTATCGTGTTCTTCACGTTCTTCCGATTCTAACAAAACCAAGTTTGACTCCAACAGACGCGATATAACATTAGGTAGGTTATTGGGGCTCCCGAGCGCGAGCGGCTGCTTGGAGAAACAGTTGAATGTTTGTTGTGGTCCGTGGCGGCCATCTTGGAACTTCTTCTTGTTCTTCTAACCGCTAAAATCACTCATTGGCACTGTCGGGATTCGAACCCTGCTCGTGTCAAAAGCGCTAAAGCGTAAGCAAGTAACCGTTTGAACTATGAAGCCACATGCGTGATCGTGTCCCCAGCGCTGCCTCTGTACCTCAGGTAGCCCGGTCCTCTCGCGCGCTCCTCCCATATCCGTCTGTTCTTCCTCCGTCCACGCCCGCCTAGCCCAGTTACATGTTTCTTCGCACAAGCATATTATTTTCTTGGGCTAAGCAGAATGTATCAAGAATATTTTCTTCTTGTGGGAGGAAAACCATGTTTCTTCGAACGAGATAACGATACCCCCTATGTAAAACCGCTCACCGCCTCGGGGGCTCTGAGAAAACGCTCACCTCCTCCCCGCCTGCGGGCAACCACTTACCTAGCTTGGCGCTCCGGATAACCGCTTAAGTCGCTTTTTCACCGAAAACGTAATATTGGTATCATTCGAAAGAGGCGGAAATTCTCTTTCAAATGATACCAATATTACGTTTTCGGTGAAAAAGCGATTTAAGCGGTTATCCGGAGCGCCAAGCTAGGTAAGCGGTTGTCCGCAGGCGGGGAGGAGGTGAGCGTTTGTCCGCAGCCGCCGAGGCGGTAAGCGGTTTTACATAAGTAAAATTGAGTCAGTAACACTTTTGGGATGGGGGCAAGAAAACATTTTTGTGAGTGTAACCGCTTTTGTTCTTTTCAGTTTCGCTCCGCGCTCTACAGGGATACCCTATTAGTAACTTTAGGGTATTACCGAAACGTCAGTTTTCCTTAGGCTGTCTTCACACTTCCGCTTTCTGGGTACTTTCAAGGGCCTTAACGGTACGAAATAGAGCAAAACAAGCGAAATTTTCGTCTTTGGGCTCCACGTTTGCAGTACCTCCTAGAAACACAACACAACAACATTTTATTAGCAGATGATACTTCCAGTATAACTGCTTGTACCGAGGGGGAAATCACTTGCGTACTACCTCGTACACCGGGCCTGTACTAATTACGTAATAGCGCGTACTAATGCGTAATAGCGCGTACTAATGCGTAATAGCGCGTACTAACGATGTACTAACATGTACTAACACGTACTAACGTGTACTAAACCCGTACTAATGTGTACTGGAGCATCACGGCGCATTACGTCAGTGTCGAGGCTCCGCTTAAAAAGATTGAGTTCTTCGCGATTCTTCGCGAAAATCTCTCGAGCCTGGAGTAGCGACGATTGGATTGCCTCTGATTGAAGTGAAATTAAATACCCGGTAAAGCTGAAATGCAGAAGAATGCGGGGAAGAAGAAAACAGAAATCGCTATGCTTTAACATGGTGACTTCCGTTTTCTTCTTCCCCGTATTCTTCTGCATTTCAGCTTTACCGGACTGCTTTATTTCAAAATACATTTAAACCTCTCTCCTACGACAAGTATAACATAATGTGACTCCAGACGAAGCTAGTCACTTTAAGAAAACGATGTACATTGTGCTGATTTCGATGGGCCTATCCTACCTGAGTTAACGATATTTGCTGTAATATTGTTCAGTTCCTTCACTGTAAAAAGCTTGCGAAGAACTATTCTTTGCATTGCAAAGAATTTTCAAGCGTTGTAAAATGCTTTGCATTGCGAACTAAATCCTTTGGATTTCGAACTAATTCTTCGCACCTTACGAAGAAAATCGTTCGTAACGCTGCAAAGAATTAGTTTGTAACCTTGCAAACCATTTCTTCGCAGCTTACGAAGAAAATGGTTTGCAATGCAAAGAAAATAGTTTTCATTGCAAACTTTCTTACAATGCTTAAAAATTCTTAGCAAGAATTTTGCAGTGTTGTAGGTCCGTGTTTAATAATCTTTTTACACGTCCTTTTCAAAGATAAGGTGACTTCCAATCATTCCACATGTAAACACAATCACATTTTGTTAAAATAACAAAATAAAAAATTTTGCATTTTTTAGAAATTATAAAATTAAAAGTGTAGTACAAGATTTGGATTCCTTTTTCAAAATTATAAAGGAAATGTTTTATGCTGAAAGCCTATCATAGTCGAAATGGCAAAGTTATTAGAGTCCAAAGGGGTAAATGTGTGCAAAAACGACCAAATTGTCAATTTGGGGGGCAGTAACTGCCATTTCGATTCCGATCGTCTTGGAGCACAAAACATTTTCGATTTCTTTAGTCAAGATTTTGTCAAAATATCACTTTTGTTTCTTCTCACCGGACACTCGCGAAACTCTGTAGGACGAGTTCCACAATTATAAAACTAAAAATATCGCACTCGGTTTGACCATCTGGGCACATGTGAGAGAGTCAGAAAGTCTCAAAGGGGTTGCAGGAGCATTTGCGTTTTTGCGCTCTTTTCCACCTCAGTGCAGCCACCACCGAAACAACATCATCTGAAGTTCTCTCTGAGAAAAAAAGGACCATATACGGTATTTCAAATTAGTCTGTTGTGAACGAGAAGGGGAGACTGGGTCTCCCTTCAATTATCGATCGAATTATTGAAAAAAAAAAAAAAAATGCGTCCTAACGGTGTACTAACGCTGTACTAACGCTGTACTAACGGTGTACTAACCGTACTAATGGTGTACTGACCGTACTATCATCGTACTAGCCGTACTAATGGCGTACTGACCGTACTTATGGCGTACTGGCCGTGCTAATGGCGTACTAGCCGCACTAACGCCGTACTAAGCGTACTAAAGTGTACTATGTATGTACTAACTCGTACACTGTTTTCCCGAGTGATTTCCCCCTCGACGCCAGGCTGGTACTACATCCGCTGCGAACTAGGCGGCAAGTCTCTGCATGCGTGTAGAGATGTTCCCTAGGGGCGATTTCTGGAAGTTAGCAATATGGTGTACTTTCTGGAAAAGAGGTGGAGCCCTTCGCGTTTTCGTGACAATTCTATGTTTCTTGGAAATGAACATAATAATTTAACGGCGAAGATTGACGAACATTCACGGGTTGATCTGATGTTTGAGCACACGACTGATGGTAAATGAAGAAGGGTTCAAAATCCCTTTTGCCCCCAACTCCCTGAATAACACAAGATATGCCTCTTCTGATAGCGCAGTCACAGTTCATTGATGTCAGCGCGAGTGCGTCGATTAAAGGCGGCATGGGCTCAGTTATCCACGGAGAGTCTGATCGGACTGACTTACAATGGCCCCGAAAGAGCTGACTTCGTTTGGCTCTAGTGTGTTACTGAAGTATGCCAGCCACCGAAATGGCGCTCCACCAGTCACGGGAGAAAGGTACGACGCAGGAGTGGAGCGACTAAACCTTTTTCGGATCAGATTTTCTTTTGGCCCTCCTCTATGCCGTAAGTCACGTGCTAAAAATCATCCACGCAGTTGGAGGCCTTTTCTTTCCTATTCATGTCACAGTTTGAGGCCTGTAACTAAAACAGTTTGGGCAAGTCCATTGCGTATAGAGGTGACCTTAGGCCAAAATAGGATTGTTGCTTTTTCAAAGGAGAATAGGCTAAGACTAAAAGTCGTTCTTTTTATGTCGAATTTACGTGGGTATTAAATCCAGGTTGTAACCGTTCTGTTCGTTGGTTTTTAGTTACATGGAGAGCAGGCGGCAAGATGACGGTGCTGAGGGATTGTGGCGGGTACACGACGGCCTCTACGACCTCACCGAGTTTATTTCGCGGCATCCCGGAGGTCAGAATTGGCTTCGGATCACTAAGGTAGGGGCGAGGAGTGGATAACTTCGAAATTGGGTGTACAAATTTCAAAAATTGAATTTGAATTGGCTTAAATTGAGATTCAATTGGACTGAATTGGTTGAATTGTTTTTGAATTGGTTTGAATTATTTCGACTTTGTTTTCCTGAATGAGCGTGAATTGACTTGACCTGGCTTAAATTGACGTAAATTGATTGTAAATTGTCTTGAATTGGACTGAATTAGTTGAATTAGTTTTCAATCCGTTAGGATTCAATTGGACTAGTCTGAATTAGTTTGAATTGGGAAAAATTAGGGGTGTATCCTTGGTAGGAGAGTAATTGCCTCAGCGATAGCGAAAGTGTTCAGAAGGGCTTGGACGAAAGAGGACGGCTCGCTTACACCCACCATCTATTTTGAACGGTTTCGGAGCTAGGGCCGCGAGAAGCGGCGCGCGCCGCGTCGCGCCCATAAGGCCCCTGGGTGAAGCGGCCGCGCCAAGCATCCTCCCTCCTGGGAGGTAGGCAGCGGTGCGCTGCCCAGCGGCAGGCAGGGGGGGTACAGGTTTTTCGCCCGGCGGCGCGGCGCAGTGATCAGTCCTTCTCCTTTTTCGTCCAAGAGAAGGGTGTCTGTCTGAAATCGCGATATCTCGAAAACAGATTGAGCTAGGTACCCAAAATTTTCAGAGTAAGTTTATATCATGAAAGCCAGAAGTGTAAAATTTCAAGCCGTCTAGTTAAAACTTGAGCAGTCGAACGATAGCGGGCAATTTGACACGTAAGTGAGCGTCGTTTTTTCACTCAATTATAAATATTAGTGTGGGTAAGAAAATATCCCTGCCGGTCCTTTCAGCATGGAGACAACCAGAGAACGGTGTTCTCAACGGTGACCAACGTTCATATTTTTGAGGTGCGTGCAGCGCAGAACTCTTCCTTAGCGTCCTATACATCGGCCCGGATCGACAAAGTTATTTAGCAACCCACCGGAAAACAGGAAGTTTTGGCTACTCGCTAGCGAGCGGCGCCCGGATACTGTTTGAAATGAGCGCGATAGAGCGGGGTGGAGGAACCGTCCCCGCCGCACAGTGGGAGATTTGGCCTCAAAATTGCGACAAAAGTCAAAAATCTAATCTTTAGAATCAACGGATTTTTCTGTTTGATATCGGTAGATGACACATAAAGTCACCATTTCCATTCACTTTCACTTCATTTCGATAGCTCGTGTTTCGGCTAGGATGTGTTTAAACCGACCCTTGCGCGCTTTGGTAAAATGCTTCGAAATTGAGTAAAACACGGTCTATAAGGACTGGAAGTGACATTTCTTGGTATTTAAAAGTTGGGCAACATTTTAAGTCATATTATTTATGTCAAAGACTTGAGAATAGGAATAAATCATAATTCAAAAGTTCAGATTTGGAGGTTAGGTGTTATCTTGTTTTCATATTGAGTTATAACTTGAGTTCCGCCGAGTTCCACTCTAACTCTTGCATCAAAGGGTAGCTACGATACTAATAAACGAGAGAACAGGTGCCACAAGCTGCCACCTTGGCGATGCTGAGCATTAAAAAATTGGCCTTTTTGGGTGGAAGTGCCCCGGCTGGCTCTGCCAAAAAAGTGCCACAACATGTAATATGTTTGTGTTTGAACACGTGAGCATACTTTTACATGTAGCTGTACGGCATTCACAGAAACAGAACCGAAAACTTGGCAACGGGATGAGGAGTGTTCAATAAAGGAGTTGCGCACTTTCCAGTGCAGATCAACATAGTTAAACACTTGCTAGTGCACTACTACGGAGTTGAACGCATGCAGGTATTGTACTTGCAGTTGCGCAGTTATAGTGGTCAGGGAAGTGGAGCCAACTTAGTTCGGTGGGAAGGCGGGCGGTGGGCCTGGCTCTTCACTTATTTTTTGATGCGATTTTCGTTTTAGGGGACGGACATTACGGAGGCGTTTGAGAGTCACCACATTGCGCAGACCGCTGCAGATCTACTGCCGAAGTTCTTCATCCGTTCAGCTAGCCGAAGCCAGCCCCGAAACTCACCATACACCTTCCACGAGGATGGATTTTACAAGACGTTCAAGCGTCGGGCCGCCTATGTCCTTAAAATCACACCAGACAGTTCCTTTTCGCGCTGGTTTAACGACGGCTTGGTACGTACTAATCTGCTTGTTAAAATGAAGCGTTCCGGAAACACGGTAAAAACGAAGTCCCAGTTTTTGAGGGGAAAAGGAAAACGTTGAGGGAGTCAGTAACTTTGAGGGATCTTTCTTGAAAAATAAGAACGACCCTCAAAGTAAGTCACAAATTTTGAGGAAGTCCCTCAAAGTAAGCGTGGCTGTTGCTGCGCCCACCTCGCTACTTTAGAGCTTGATAACAACTGATCAAATTGTCAGCTGGTCAAATTTAATGTGTTTCTCTTAGTTTTAGAGCTGCGGAACTCGTCCTACAAAGTTTGATGCGTGTACAAAGAAATGAAACTTATTTTTGAATGACTTCCGTGCTTTTAGACGTACTGGCACACGTTTATCATTCAAAAATCAGTTTCATTTCTTCTCATTGTACACGCATCAAACTGCTTCTTTTTTTTTCTTTTTTTTGGGGGGGGGGGGGTTTCCTCGGCCATTGTACGATTTGACGCCTCCTTGTACGCCTTTACAGCGTCTTCATTTTCACCGTATTTACGTCGAAAAAAAAAATGTAGTAAAAATAACTGTTAATTATATACCTTAGTCTTCCACACTTTTCGCATAAAACATTAATTTCATGTTAACAAATAGACCATCCCAATAAAAGAAATAAAGCTAGTACAAAATTATTGTTAGGAATTAAATGCGTTATTGCGTTCTTGAACCAGAGTTACGACAATTGTTCTGAGATTCACGGCCTTATGCGTTGATGTCGTTCGTCTTTGCTGACGCTGACCCTACAAAACCCCCAAGGCGGAACAAAATCGGGGACCTCGTCGGGGACTAACACTTTATGAGTTCCCTTGTGAGACCAGGCAGTTGTTGGGCGAGCGGCGTTGTTGTGATCGCCCTCACTGTGGACGAGCGATAGACCGAGCTACCAGAGGTGCTCGTCGTTGGGGTCGAGGCCTCGGGTGCCCTGTGCTCTCGCCTGGGCCACCTTCAGGCCAGGCTTGGACGGCTTGGAGGAGTGTTAAGTGTATATTGTTTATGGGGCTGGGAGCGCCTGGACGGGGCGTGGCCTAGAGCACAGTAGTGATTGTTGGCGGGCGGAGGGAAGTTGGGACGAACAGCATAACGCACCGCTCCCCCGCGCGCCAAACCTGCTGGTATAGACTGGATCGTCTAAAAACTCTGAAGCACCCAAACGGATAAAATTTCAGTTCAAAGGGTCCTACTTTCACGAGTTACCCCTAAGAAGCCCATAAAAAAATATTTGTTTCCTATTTTTTGGAACAACCTCTTTTTATTTGTAACCCCGTTAAGGGTGGTTGACAGTATTTCAGGCAAATTCTCATAAAGGGACGAATGTCCAAACCCGCTAAGTTTTCAGGATAGAGGAAATAAGGTTCCTTTTTGACCTGCATAGCGGTTTGAAGCCACACCTTTGAGAGTTATCCTAAATACTTCTCTAGTGTTGCATTACATTTTGCTTTTCAGCTTGTGTCATTATTTTGAATGGAATGGGAGATAAGCGAGGGGGACGTAACTCCCAAAAATCGTGTACACCACTGGCCCAGTCAAAGATTGGTGGGTGATTGGAAACGATTGGATGACTGGAAAAATGATTGGGATTGACTGGAGGATTGGGACATGACTGGGTGACTGGAAAATGACTGGTAAAGACTGGAATGTGATTGGCTGACTGGAAAACGATTGGAAAATGACTGGATGACGACAAGACTGGAAATTTGCTACACAAGATAAGGAAAAGTGTTGCACTCAGCCTGGTATGTCTACATTTGTCATACACGTAGGGCCCTGTGCGTTAACATTATGCACGGGGTAGATGAGAAGACAAACAAAATATAGAACAAAACTATACCGAATGAGGGTCCGCTTAGTAGGTAGGCAACCGGTCGTCATTTAGGCGACCTACTGTGCATCGCCCCCCCCCCCCTCCGGCCTCCCTTGAGGGGTACCTCACTATAAATTCAAGCATACACTAATTTTTCATACTATCTTTGATCGATTTTGCCTTAATTTTCCCTTTAATTTTCTGATTACCTACTGATTTTTTCCCCGTTTTTTTCAGAGCGTAGCCCAATTTTTGTTCAGTGAAATACCCCACCCCCACCCTCAACCCCTTCTGCCAGCCAGACCTTCGACCGCGGCCTGGTCTGGTTGGGTCGCTCTAATCACCACCTGAGTTCAAATCCCTTGCAGCCCCCCTACAACAGGTACTTGTAGCGAATAGTGAACTTGAGTAATCACTTTACAATAGAATAGGTTTGGAAGTCCACTAGAAAAGCTTGATAGTGGTAAGTCTGGTTAAACTTCTCTCCTACGACAAGTATAACTTGACGCTCTTTTATTTATTTTTATCAGATCTCTCCGAGGTATTTGAAGGATCACGAGTCGATGAAGTTTATTTAATTGAAAGTTCTATAATGTATCGTATCATAGAGTTTAATTTCAATGCTGCCACCATTTCATTGGACTTCATAAAACATAAATTGACTCCAGACAAAGCTAATGAATTTAAGAAAATGGTATACCTTGTTCTGATTTCGATGGGCCTATCCTACCCGAGTTTGCGATATTGGCTATAATAGTGTTCGGTCCCTTGCAAGTCCATGGCTGTTGTGAAAATAAGTTGTGTGTTTAATAATCGTTTTGACAAGTCCTATTGAAAGATTATGTGACTTCCAATTATTCTACGAGTAAACACCATTCCATTTTGTTGAAACAACAAAATTGAAAATGTGTTTGTGATGTCCATTGCGAACTCTGGTTGCCGTTGCTGCCTTTCAAGGTACCGCGGGATTCAAAAAGTGGCGCTCTTATGGTGCTTTTTAGCGATTGGACAGTTTTTGACTGGGTGATTGGGAGTGACTGGAAACGACTGGTTTTGATTGGTTTTGACTGGTAAGCGACTGGATGCGATTGGATGCGACTGGAAAGACGACTGGGTGACTGGAAAATGATTGGGTGACTGGATTGTGACTGGATTTTGACTGGATCCGGATCTGTACACCGATTGGTTGAAGTTACGTCCCCCTTGGAGATAAGGGACATTTGCCAGTTTTGCCAGGTATAAATGTCGACAATAGGGCGAAATTCCACATCTTAATTGCAGGGGTCGAATTGGCGAATGTCCATGAACAATTTGACAAAGAGACGAACGTCCACAACTGCTTTGACAAAGTGTCGAGTGTCCAAGAACACTATGATAACGAGGCGAATGTCCAAACTACTACCCAACTATTCAAGTGTTATGCTATTGCTTGAAAAGCTTTTGCAGTTAGAAGCCAATTGTGCTCTACATCTTCCCTATATAAGGAGTAAGATGCCCTCTGATTCACATTGTTTATTAATAAACAGTTTCACGAAAAAGCCACTGTGAAAAATATCTTCGTAAACTTACGACATTTGTTGTAATTTTGATTTACAAGATATGCCGTAAATTTACGACCGCCCACTCTTGCTCGTCGGTCAATTCCAAGTCGATAGGGAGTGCTTGTAAATTTACAATTTCAAATTGTAATTTTACGACTTGTACACTGTTAAAAGCTTACGGTGAATTTGACCGTAAGCCACGGTCAACCTGCAGCACCGTAGCTTACGGTGGGTTGCACTGTAGCTTACGGTGGGTTGCGCTGTAGCTTACGGTGAATATCATTGTAAGTTACGGTGATCACCCAGCATTATTCTAAGTTACGCTGAACTGGGAATAAAATGTCATTTTAACACCATAATACTGGCGTTCTTGCCCATGAGATCCCTCTACAAACACCAAAAGTTAGAAATTAGAGTAAAAACAATCATAATAATACTGTCTGAGAAAAGAGGGTGGAATACAAATGTTAAAATATAATGATGAGACCATATAATATAAAATACGAGGAAGCCTTCCTTTCAATACGATATATTTTATCAATGATCGGTTCAACAACACTGAGGGGAGGGTGAGATGGTTTGTATAACTCACCAAAGTATTAAAAATCCATTGTGTAAGTTCTTGTCCTCAAAAGTCAATATGAGAGCATTCACCCCAGCCCTTGTTCTGACTAGGAAGGCTAGGCTATGATGGACAGCTGGCCTAAACCATCATTCAGACTAAGTTTAGGTGCACAAATTAGGGTTATGCTCAGATGTCCGTACTCGTATCGGCACGGATCTCAATAAGCGTTGACACGAGTCAACTGTCACAGTCGAAGCCACTTCAAAATAAAAATAAATCTGCATTTTAATTCTTGCATCACACTCGCAGTAACCTCTGAAGACCGCCATGTTGACTTTAATTTGTTGTCAACACACTGGTCTGCCTTCAGCAAGTACTTTTATTACTGACACTCAAAACTGCCGATAGTCGTCTCTTCTGCTGCTGCTGCTGCTGTCGTTGTTGATGTTGTTGCTATCCCCTCCTCCCCCTCCCACCCAACACCCCGCCCCGCGTCTCGTCTGCCTTACTTCTGCTTTCCCTTGTCATTTTGGTAGATTTTTCTCATGGCTCGTGACTTTTCTTCTAATTTCTTACCATTCTTTTTGCATTTTAATTGAAAGCAGAAGACACAATAATTAACTATCACCATATCAGTAGTTTTAATTAACTACAAGTAGGAGTATGCTGTCTGAAGAAAGTGAGGTTAAATTTGTCAGGTGACTTTGGACAAAACTTGAATATTAAATGTTAAGTTATGTAATGCTAAATGCTTGGCAGCATTCATAGTGATTAATCTTTAGTTGAAAACATATAAATTATCATTCAGTTGTGCTCGTAAGCTCTTAGCATATTATTTTAGGGATATCTTACCTTATCCTTTTTTAAA